TAGGGAAAGGGTCTAGGAGTAAATCTTAGCTAACTTTGCTTTATTGTGATAGGCTTTCAGGTCAGCATATTTGTTAAATCCACTGGTTTAGTATTCAGGAGTGATGTGAAATTTAGTTTCCAAATCAGCTTCTTCAAACAAATCCTCTTTTGTTTATGCCAAAAGGAACATTCAGATCAGAGGACTCTGAAGTATACCATGCACAAGATGGCAATGGAAGTTAATGGAAGTACACTGGAAATTTCCAAATTTCTGGCCCAGTCTAGTCCCATAATTAACAACAGATTTACTGCTTATAATTTGTCAACGTCTGAAAACTATTTGCGCTCATGTAACCTTTGTGAGCAAAACAAAACTATCATTATACGCCAGAGAAAACTCATTGATGGCAAGAGACAGAAAAATAGTATTTCCAGGTGGAGAATAGTTTCAAAAACCCACCACACCATTTCTAAGCTTTCTGCCCTGTTTCTTCAGGATTCTTTAAAATACTTTCTGAAGAGAAGCATTAGAGAAATGATCTTGGTTAGGCCATAACTTGAGTAGAAAGTGCAAATGAGTGACATCTCCACAGCTGTGTTGCCTGTTTTGATCTTGTGAAATCTTGAAATGCTGCGCAAGCCACAAAGAAGAACTTGCTGTTGCAACACTGCAGTAGGTAGGTGGTAGGCTCCCATGCACACAGGTTGTGAAGAGGCAGTACAGTATCTCAGTATCTCTGATTTGGGTTTCTCCAGAATTACCACAGGTTACTAAAGAGTTTGTGGCAAATATGATACATACAGCTTGGTGCTATTTTTAGCCTTCTGGTTTCTTGGCCATATTCTAGCTCTGGTAATTACAGATTTTTGTTCCTGTATTATGCATTTTTTTAATCCCAGGATTTTCTCCTCGATTTTCCATGCCTGCTGCATCCTATTATCTTCACTGCATTTCATCATAGGAACATCATCCTTTGCATAAGTAATGAAATTATTTGCTTCTATCACTTTTTCCTCAACCGAAAGCTGTAGATTATTATGAGTCAGTAAGTAACAAAAGAAGTGTTTACTATTCCCTTTAAAAATTCTTCCAGTGAAAAAACTGCGCTCATGGTTGGCTCTTCAGCATTACTGCTATAAGAAGCTCGTGTCCCTACAGTAGCTTTGCATAAAACTTTGCTCATAAAGGGAATCAAATGGGGAAATTAATCTACCTGAAAAGTAATCTTGAAATAAAGATCCATGATATTTTGCAGCCAGGTCATGTTCCTTACTTTGTTCCAGACACAAACACTAATTAAGCTTCTATAGATGCACATTTGTAATTATGCTTTCAGGTATTTTTCAGTTGATACCCTAAACAGCAATATAAACATCCTTGTAACTGAGAAAGGAAACCAGGAATAGTTACATACTATTACCACTGAGAAACGTTTTATTTTACAAAAGATGTTTTGTGGCTATCACAGAACAGTGGGGGTTGGAAGGGACCTCTGGAGAACACTCAGTCTAGCCCCCTCTGCCAAAGCAGGCTCACCTAGAGCAGGTTGCACAGGAACACATCCACACTGGTTTTGAGCATTTCCAGAAAAGGGGACTCCACAAGCTGTCTGAGCAACCTGCTCCATGTGCTGTTACTCTCACAGTAAATAATTTTCTCCTCTGTTCTGCTGCATTGTGGTTTAAACCACTTTTATTGTTC